ATCACAGGGGGGGGGGTTGGGACACACACATTCCGATGGCCAATTCGTTTTAAACAAAGAGTAGGCTATACTCAACATAGTGGGGTGGGGGCTGGTGAACGGTATGGTCAATGTTTGTAAACACTGTGACATTTTGACTTTATTTGATCATTTCAGTTAAAAACTAACGTTCATATTTCATATTATTGTTTTGCCTGGCTGGACCTGTCATTTACAGGAAAGGAGTGCACGCTACTAAAGAGACACGCTACCATGGAAACCAAACAATGGTGTTGCTGTATTGAAGTCCGAGTGGAAACAGTCATATTTGGAGCGTTATGTTAGAATGAAACAGCGAGGTCGTGACTCACAAAAAAAAAGTGTTACTTCACTAACTGTAAGCTTGTCACTCAGAGTAACCTACAGTTAACTTAACTGTTGGAAAAGAAAGATCAGAGGGGGAGAGAGCTGTGATGGGCCATTAGGAGTGTGAACACACAGCTGAGAGCTGCCGTTTCATTCTGACTGTTTAAAAAACGGTAACAACGGACTATTTTTCTTTTCTTTTTAAATCAATAAAAATATTTTCTAAATCCATAAAAGCATTTTAATTAATATTGGGAGTCATGTCGTTACTTTGTGGCCATGTAATAAGCGGGATAATTTGCAGCGACTTGGTCATTATGGGGAAAAATAACACCCAGGGATCAAGATCCCTCCGCGACGCGACGCGGAGGGATCAGTAATTTTTAGTGAATTACTGAGTTTAGGCACGTTAATAACATTTGAATGAAGTTGAATACAGTATATTCATATTTGTCAGTGATTTCATGTCAATTCGGCGAACATAAACGATTAAATTAGGATTAAAAATCGAGAGCCGGCTGCTGTTCGTTACGGCAACCCAACTAGGACATTTGACACAGTGGCTTTTGGTAAAGCACACAAAGAAAACAAAAAAAAACGAGAGAGATGAGTTATTGTTATTACAACGTGACTTCACTATTATTTAACAACTATTTTTATTGGGTTCTTTTATTTGGGGTTAAGTACATTGTCAGAATAAGTGAGAAATGGATTTAACTTCTGTTAGACAGCTATCATACTGAATAAATATTTATGCAAAAATGTATGGCATTAATAATGTATATCTAATTACATTTAAAAATGTATGGCATTAATAATGTATATCTAATTACATTAACTGTGAATGTCTTTCATTTTATTTAAAATGAAATAAAATTACATAAAACATTTTCCATAAAAAAGTTGATTCAAGAACAAATCAGTACTTTTCTTATATGACTATTATTGCTAAATTTGAAAGGTCTTTACCAGCTTTGGAATTATATATATATATATATAGCACCTTCTGCCATCCCATCTCTACTGACAATCATTAACACTTAGATTTTATGATATCGTAAGCATCTTCAGTGATTGACTTAAACATTGAGAATGTATTTATTAACTTCTGACATTTTCATATACAAATGTGATCATACACCAACACACTTTTTTTAATTGAGTTGTGCAACATGGCGGACCATCTCGCACATGCGCACATGCATAACATCTCGCACATGCGCATAACAACATGGTGATGTTTTGTAAATGATTACATGTATTATTTAGCACAGACTATGATCCTATCCGTGACATATGGATCTTAACAAAGATCCGCTATACATTAGTACCAGATATACTGTACACGGACATTTTAGTGAACCAGACCAGCTGTTTCCGCCGGGTCTTCGCTTCCCGGGCATCACGTTGTTTACAAGTGTGTTCAGATGCTAAATAAAAGTTTAGCTTGTACTTTTGATACCCCGCCTCTCGGCACCACAACATCCAGTTTACTGTATTTCACATGAGCGATGTCGAACATTGAAAAGTCCTTATAAAATCTCTGTTATTAGATCAGTACTTTTCTTATATGACTATTATTGACTTGAACACTGAGAATGTATTTATTAACTTCAGACATTTGAAATATTTGAAATCAGATGAAAACAAACTGTAACGGGCCCTGCCGTGTTATCTATGATTACTATGCCTTACTGTACATTCATAATTTCAGCCGGAGGTAGGTGGTAGGCGTTGCGGAGGAGCAGATTGCGAGTGAGGTGCCTGTTCTAAACGAACTATTCCAGCTGTTATAAAGCATTAAATAAAAAGTAAGCAAGGAATACAGAATGTTTCGTTACGTAACTTTGTTGAGAATGTGGCCATGTACATGTAATACATGGGATCATTTGCAGCAACTTGGTCATTGTGGGGAAAAATAACACCCATCCTGATCGTTTCAATGAAGTTGAATACAGAATATTCATATTTGTCAGTGATTTCATGTCAATTCGGCGAACATAAACATCAATGATGATGATTAAATTAGGATTAAAAATCGGGAGAGCCGGCTCGTTCGTTTTTTCCGACTAAACAACATTATTTAAATGATTATATGTCTTATTTAGCACAGACTATGATCCTATCCGTGACATATGGATCTTAACAACAAAGAAGTTGATTTCACATGACTCCAGTGTGGAACCCCACTGCACCCCCTGGTGGATCAATGATCCATTGCAGCTGGCTTCACAATAATTAAATGTATTTATCACAGGGGCGGTATCAAGTCAGACTGGGGGCCGGCCGGCCATCACGGAACGTGCACGAACCGATCACGACCCTCGCATTTTAAACTGTCCAAAATAAGACGCTTCATCTGTACAACTACAACAAGATGAACATATTTGACCGTGATTTAATTGTAATACACGTTTCAAAATGATGCCGAAGTAACAACATACTGATACCGGTTAGTAAAAACTAGAGATGTCCCGATCCGATCACGTGATCGGGGATCGGAGCCGATCACGTGATTTTCAAATGATCGGAATCGAGAGAAAAAGATCGGGGATCGGGAATTTTTTTTAAATTTTTTTGATATAAAATATATTTTTTTAATTTAATGTTACAAAACAAAAATGACCATGTTCACGTCTTAAAGTCATCCTGAGGTTTAAAATTACACAACATCATGTATGTGTTGCTTCTTTTGGGCTTGTTTTCATAGACCTGGTTGCTTATTTCTCTCAAATCTGGCAACAGAGTGGGCAGGGCGCAGTGTCTAATAGTAGCAGTAAGCTAACAAGAGGCTACGTTCAGCTGGTGCCTCGGGAGTCGGGACAGAGAAAATGTCAGGAGTTTGGAAGTATTATAAAATTGAAAGCGAAGGCAGTGTAACAGCCAGATGCAATGTTTGCAAGGCGGAGGTTCCGCGTGGTGGAAAGAACAGAGCTACGTTCAACACGACCAACGAGTACACAGCGGCCATTCAGGTAACGGCACTGAAACAACCAATACTTTCAGAGACTTTTAAAAGGAAAGAGAAACTACCCCAGAACAGTGAAAAGGCCAACAAAAATAACAGCCAAGATAGCTGAATTCATCGCGTTGGATGACCAGCCGTTATCTGTGGTGGAGAACGTGGGGTTTAAGGGACAACTTGAATGCTTTTCGCCTTTTTTTTTTCTTAATGCATTGCATAAAGATCGGATCGGGAAAAATCGGTATCGGCAGATTGTCAAAATCAAATGATCGGAATCGGATCGGGAGCAAAAAAAGGTGATCGGGACATCCCTAGTAAAAACCATGAATTAATGCTTTGACAAGTCTGCAGACAAACGGCAGGTGAAAAACCTTTTAAAATGCGTGTTTTCTAAATGGAGATTGGCTAAGCTAACGCAATTTTTTTTATTTTTTTTGTTGCCTTTATTTAACCTGGTTAAAAAATCCCATTGAGATCAACAATCTCTTTTTCAAGGGAGACCTGCGGCAATATATGCTCCGACCGTCCACACTCACAACAACGGCCTATACAGACATAAATAAACCAGCGACTGTACTCACCATGACACAGGCAGTCTGTGGTTTGTACTTGTTTAACTTTTGTCTAGTTTCTGAACATATATGAGGGGCTGTGAGCTCTGAGTGCTCACAGCTAACGGCTGTGTTGTTTTTCTGGGGTTCTCATTGAAGATGACGTCACGGCTCCGCCTACACTGCGTTACTATAAATACTACCCCAGTTCCTAAACTGTAATGGGAATGCGCCATAAAGTGAGCCAGTCCTAATGAGGCCTAGCCATACCGAGCGAGGCCGAGCGAGGCCGTGTAGTGGAAATGCGCCATTAGTTCGCTGTGCCGTTGTCAGGCTGTGGTGGTCTGAGGCCAGGGCAGGCTGTTGTTGATAGCCTACATGTGGCGCTTCTGAGTGGTTGTGTATGTCCGTGCATGTGTGAGCGCATCAGCGTGCGCTTATGTTTGGGGCGATGGGGGGGGGGGGTTAGGCAGTGGCTTTTGATTGCATGCAGTGGCGGCTGGTGAATCTTTCTCCAGGGGGGGCTCTACCAAAATGTAGGCAAACTTATACACTAACTCAAAACATATATCATATTACAACGCAGGGCTAGCTCAAAGGCACACAGCACTTGATACAGTCTATTATTTGAGTGCCTGTTTTTGTCAACCTCCTTATTATGCTTACTGATCCCTATCCTGTAGCCCTCATTGGACAGCTGTGTTTACTTTCATAAACATGGCTAGTCGCATAGCATCATCCATGTGGACTCTAGTTTGTTCATGCTCTTTAGTTTTTTCTGATATGTGCTTTAAGTCACTCACATCTGTCTGGATCCATGCTGGGTCTGGTCCATAGACTGGTCTGATCCTGACGTTTGAAAAGGGAGGCAGGGGAAGCTAAATATAGCACTGGTGTTGCTACAGGTAGTTAGCCCAGCCTTCTTGCTAAACCAGCTCCTTGAAAAAGAGCACATACTGCCTTCCTCTGTCCTTAACTCCTGCCTATGTCAGGCTGATCAGGTCCGAGCTCTTTTACTCTCAGCTTTCCCTCCAGTGTCCTCCTGGGTGTTTCTTTAAGTGATTAAACATCATTTTCCTTCTGCATATTCGCTATCTAGTTTTGTTAACACTAGCATTAGCCGGCTGGGGCAGCCGAACCTGTCGGATGCCCAGCTGCCGTGCGAGTTCCTCGTCAATGATGCTGACATCTGATCCGGAGTCGATAAAGACAGCCAGGGCCTGAGATTTGCCTGTCAGGAGGAGTCGAGCATGGCACAAGGGTCTTTGATAGGGGATCAGCTCAGAGGTTTGGCCCACCAGTATACTCCCCATTACTGGTGAACCCTGCCTTTTACTGGTCAATGGGAAACAAAATGGCCAGCCCGACCACAGAAAAGGCATAGATTACCTCTTCGGCGTAATTCCCTTTCCTCAGAGGGAAGACTGGTACGACCCACTTGCATGGGCTCCATCTCCCCGTACCGTGAGTCAGAGTAGGGATGGGAATTCTCCGCCGAAACCGGAAGTCGAAATCCTCCAGACCCCAGAAGTCGTTGTCGCAAGCTGCGGTCCGCTGCACCGAACACCTTCCGCAACTCCGCGGAAAATGCGAGTCTGCTGCTCCCACTCGGCAGTCCCCCATAGACGGGCTCTACCCGTCAGGTGATTCACGGTGAACGCTACTGCAGTGCAAACAATATGGAGCAGTTTGTGAGAAAGGGGTTGCAGCCCTCAGGCTCACCAGTGTAGCGTTCCGCCGTTCCCACACGAGGCTCCGGAGCGTATACAGTCGGGCCAGGAGCTGGAGCGGGTGCCGGAGCTGCGGGCGGAGGGACGGTAGCAGCCATGGTAGCAGCTAGCTGTTGTACAGTAAGCCAGCGTTTGTCCATGGGTTGAGGTTGCCTGGTGGGTCTCGGTAGCTAAGGTAGCTATCGTGACCTCCTGTCTTTGGATGGCATCCTCAACCCTCTCAAAGCGGTCTCTAGGAGACCCGGTGTTTGCTTGGTCCATTTCTGGCCAGATCGTTCTGTCACGAACGAGCTGAGAACCAAAATGCAACACACGGGAGACCAGGGAAAGTTGGTAACCAGCTTTATTATAAATTGTTTCCAATGAAAAGTTCTGTTGTAAGACAAACCGGCAGACAGTAGGCAAAGGGCTGATCTGGGACAGGCGAGGGTTCCAGGAGTAGGCAAGACCGGAGACGCAGGTACAGGCAGGGTCAGGGAGCAGGCGAGGCAGAATAGTCCGGGTACAGGCAGGGTCAGGAAACAGGCAAAGCAGGCTGGACAGGCAAGGTCGAAACCGGGAGAGCAATCTGGGAGGTAATGCTGGAAAGAACTGCATGCTGCTAAGTACGATCTGGCACTGAGGTGAGAGTGAAGGGGGCCTATATACTAGTGGAGCTGATGGGTGTGAGAGAGAAACAGGGTGTGACTACCAGGTGACTAAGGTGCTTGCCCCACGGGAACGCATACGGCAAAACGCATAGGATTAACGCAATCGCAATCCCAAAAAAGCTTCCGTCCACACGCAATATACACCGGATAGTGTCTGTTCACACGAGACAGCTCCGTTTAGCTCCAACCGCTGGAAATAGCTGCAGTACATATGCCGAGCCTGTACATGGCGCTGTAACTTCCTCCACCGAAGCAGCGAAGAAGCATGGTTGTCATGGTTGCCCTTCTGTTTATTCACCGTGGTGGGGGCCGAGGGTCAACGTCGCCGGTCAACGTGTGTTAAAGTTTAAATCTTCCGGACAAAATTATAAAAGTGCCGGTCAAAGGTCTTCTTTGTTATTTATTGAGCTTTAAAACAAATGAATAACGACTATATATAATAATAAAATACACGGAGCCTGTCCTCTCTTTTTCCTCTCTTCTGACAGCGTCAGTGTCTGTCTCATGCAGCAGCTGATCCAGTAATGAGTGACCCGGCCGACAGTAAAAAATAAACATATTTATAACTAGTTTAGGTAGTTTGAGAGGTAATTAAAATAGCTAAGGGTGATGCTCCTCCCGCTGCATCACAGCTGTGTGGAGCTGCGTGTCTCCGTCCTGTCAGATTAGACTTCACTCGCGTTTATGTCCATATCGAGAGAAAGATAAATAATCTGAATTCAGTGTGCAGTTTACTTTGACGCGTGAGCAGCAGAGGTGGGGGGAGGCGGGGCTATTGCGTCATCATTATCACAAAATGATCGTATAGGTCCTACACACGGAGCCGTTGGACCCTCCAGAGCGTTGCGTATGCCGTGCTATCCACCTTGGGACCCGTTATCGTTACCGCAGTTGTTTACTGCCATATTCGGTCATCCTAGTGTGGCAGAACGGTCTATATGACACTAAACAGTTACGTATGGGCTCAGAACAGTCTCATAATGCACACATGCACACATAAGGATTCACACTTGTATTTCATGATCTGCAAAAGGATTCACACTTGTATTTCCGGATCCACACTTGTGTGTTTCAATGCACACACAAATGTGTTCCGTTTCATATACATGTAAATAAAATCCAAATACAGAAAAAAGTTTTACATATGTATTTTTGATCCTCACATATTTGTTTTCCGTTTAAATCCCCTGCACCTGCAAACACAACCCGCTTTCTGTGCATGGATCGCTGTGCATTCGTGTGTGGGTTTTTTGAGACTCCCCTGATGGTGACCCGATTCGTACTTGTAATTTTTTCTATCTATAGCCAATCAGATGTCTCCTTCATTCTAAGCCAATCACATGAGCGCGCCCCCACGAGGGTAGATTTCTTGCGTTCATGACGTAGCGCTTCATGTACGCATTTTGCGCAGTCCGTAGCTGACAGGTCCATGGAGCCTGCAGGCGCTAATCTCAGGACACTTCCACTCTCAGTACATTGCCACTTTCTGAGCAGGAAATGCACGCAAATACAAGCCTTTATATTATTAAGGAACAGCGCCACTTTCCGAACCATTAATGAATGCTTGTGTACACAAAAACGGCAGGCAAAACCGTTTTAAATGTGTGTTTCCTGTATGGCGAATACAGCTGCTTTATTTATGTCTGTATGAAGTTGTTGTGAGTGTGGAGGGAGCAGCTACAGGTTAGCTTAGCCTAATCGATCAGTGCACTACGAAGCCAGTGCTAGACAGTGAACTGTCAACGGGGGGAGCCCCGCCGGTCATTATCGGCCGATATTCACTCTTAATAGTTTGATCGGTGCTCTCTATAAAGGCCGATCAGGAGAGCTGGATCTGATCGATATGGACATAAACGCGAGTGAAGTTTTAGCGAGCTGCATGAGAAACTGACGGGCTGTCAGGAGAGAGGGAGGGAGAGAGGAAAAGAGATGATCCTTACTCCTGTGTTATTAGCCATATCCGGTCATAGTCCGGTAATTACCTGCTAACGGAAACTCTGCTACACAATTCTTCTTCTTCTTCTTCTTATTATTGAAACATGACCGGTAAGTTTCAAATTTGTCCGGTAAAATAAATTCTGTCCGCGGAAACCCTGCTCCGGACAGCGCAAAATGCGTATATGAAGTGTCATGAACGCAATAAATCACCCTCGTGGGGACGCGCTCATGTGATTGGCTTAGAACGAAGGAGACATCTGATTGGCTATAGATAGAAAAAATTACAAGTACGAATCGGGTGACCGTCAGGGGAGTCTCAAAAAACCCACACACGAATGCACAGCGATCCATGCACAGAAAGCGGTTTGTGTGTTCAGGTGCAGGGGTTTTAAACGGAAAACAAATATGTGAGGATCAAAAATACATATGTAAAACTTTTTTCTGTATTTGGATTTTATTTACATGAATATGAAACGGAACACATTTGTGTGTGCATTGAAAAACACAAGTGTGGATCCGGAAATACAAGTGTGACTCCTTTTGTGGATCATGAAATACAAGTGTGAATCCTTCTGTGTGCATGTGTGTATTATGAAACTGTTCTGAGCCCATAGTTACGCAAACGGCCGTATGCGTTCCCGTGGGGCAAGCACCTAAGGTGGCTGAGAAATGCTAATGCAGAAAATAGGTGAGTGAGGGAGCAGGAAATGTAAACTGCATCTACATAGAATAATAACATTATAAGGTTACATTAAAAAATGGAAGCTAGTGGTAAGCTACAAGCAGCCAGGATGTGTATTTCTGTTTTGGATTTTTTTTAAGGTAAAAAAAGTAGTAGATGTGTTCAACACATCAACAATTGAATCTGTAACACTGAATCCTCAGGCTTTAGCTTTAGATTAGCATGGTGACGAGAAGTCATGCAACTGTCATTTTGTTTGTTTAGCATAACATTAGCTATTAGCTTCTGGCTATTACATTAACGCTTAAACTATTATACATTTGGTGTTAGTGTCTGAAAATGATCCTGCTATAAAAAATGTTACTTTTATTCACGTGTGTTTGCCACATATTAATTTTTTCTGCAATATTCCAAAATCCAACAGAAAAATCCCATTACTTTTGTCGAGGGAGCTCTTGTGATGCTAACTTCCGGGTCGGCCTACAGAAATACGCCATCGCTGCACCACTCCACATTCAATTATGATGTATCTGTAGCAGTGTATGTGTTGGTCAATAAGTAACAAGAAACATAACTACCAGATATGTTTCAGGTTATTGAGTAAAACAATGAATCACTTTTTTAAACCGTCAAATATTGATTTTGGTATTTGCCTCAAAAATAGTTGGTCAGGCTCCTCCTAAAAGCTCAATGAATGATTTGGAAAATACACTCAAATAATCATCACAGATTAGTTAATGTTGAGCTTTTAACTTTACTGACATCACTTACTGTATATAGGACTATAATAGTTTGACAGTTTAATTACTTTTTATCTTTTGTTCTATGTTCTAAGTGGCCATCTTGGTAGGCAGGGCGGAAAGCCTTCTATCATAAAGAGGGGAGATGAGATGAGGTATTGGTGGGTTTGGACCCAGGGGTACAGAAAAGTGATGGAATGAGGGGTGTGAAACCCTGGCTAACTTCCCCCGTCCTCTCAATTCTCCTTTGGTTTTTTTAATGTCAAGATCACAGATATGTTTGATTCTAAGGCTGAACATAAAGATAACGTGTCCAGTATCTTTGTTTCCTTCTCTTTGGTGGCAGAAAGCAGTTAACACATGTGTGTTTTTGGATCTCACTTTGAGAAAACAGGTTGCCACAGAAACCCAGTTTTTAGTACTGCAGATGCAAGCGCTTTTATGTGGGCCATAGACTCAATCAGTGAAATAAAGTCTGGCCTGGATAGCTTAATAGAGTTTGGTAGAGGAAGTGAATGACTTGGAGTGTGTCTGGAGACAGATACACAGTCAGGTCTTTAATATCCATCCCTACTGACAGTCCTCTGTCCTCTTGTGAACATTGTACCAAGTTATGCATAAAGCAGAGGAGGAGTAGGAACTGTGTGTCCTGAAATAAACATTCGGTGTACTGATCCTTTAACCAAATAAATGATTATGTGTTTATTTAATTAAGAATTGTCACATAAAATTACAAACCTGAAAACAGTTATCTCAGCTGCTAACATCAGTATCTATTAGAGACTCATAGTCAATTGAATCAGCCATGTCTATAACAATCATTATACTGTATATGAATCAACAACCGAATACTTAGATAACTAGCTTCAATTGCTAGATATACAAAAGACATATAAATGCGGTTTTAGCTTACAGCAGGGGTCTCAAACTCAAGGCCCGGGGGCCAAATCCGGCCCGCAACTTCATTTTATGTGGCCCAGCAAGAGCTTGAAAAGAATATAATACGTTTATTATACGGTTACATGCCACTTTACAGAAGCAGGTTGCCCATAAACTACATGTCCCACAATGCATCTCGTTTTGTGACATGCACACTGAAGAGACTTGCAATTATTTGCCCTGGACTTCTGCTTTCAGACGCAGTTAATTACTAAGTTCTTATCCTATCCGATAATAATCCAATTCAGAGGCAATAATGTAATATAATACATTATTTTATATATATATATTATATATTTATATAGTTACAAC